GATAGTGTAAGTGCCCAGTTTAGCTGAAGCAGAAGATGACCGGTCTAGGCTAGGTTGTGATGCAGAATATTTGCCTGCCGGAAGATGAGCCTGCAACTGAGAGAATGAGTGACTGAGTGTAGACTAGACTGCGGACAGACAGTTACGGAGCCTGTCTCGGGGAGAGTCATGGTAAAAGTCACGGCGGGTTTTATTCTACACAGCATGTTATCAAGAGCCTAGATTGTTAAAGATGCAGGAAACTGATCTCTCTATCCAGGTACTGGGGATCGTAAATGCAGAACATAAAATGAAACAGAGGGGTAACTGATCCTCATGTCATGGAAGGAGGTTAGAAAAAGAACTGTGCGTACATCTCACTCTGCATGCTTCTTGTACAGTGAAAAGGAAAGTGATCAGCAGAACAATGAATGAGTGTGTCTAAAAAGGGGAACTTACCGTCGACCTCCCAGACCACCCTGACCTAGAGAGAGAAAGAGAGATAGAGAGAGAGAAAGAGAGAGAGAGAGAGAGAATGTTCCTTCTTCAGTAGAATTTCTGCCAAAAACCTAGAAAAGAAAATGAAGCCAGAAAGACTCAGGAGGTTGATTATAAACGTAAATGGATTTCTGTCATAAAATAATATCGACAAAGAAGGAACAGTAAAAGCAGGTCTAAGAAAATTGCGGGAAAAAAATACCTAAGATGTCCGGAAGTCGGCAGAAGCTGACAGCGTGTCATCGTAGAAGTAACCTTTTTATATTGTACTTTATTAATTTAAGTATATATTTGTATATCTACCTCTCCACTGCATCTTCCCATTTATTCACTCTAGTAATTATTAACTTCATTTCCGTTATATTCCTTTTGTTTACTTATTCCTTTGGCACAGCAGCAATGGAGGACGCCCAACTGTACGTCTCGGCCAACGCCCTTCAACGACGAGATGCCCTTGTGGTGTTGACGGAATTCCTGCCGCAGATGGCGTGGCAGGAGGAAGGCGAGAACATCCTGGACATTGGTTGTGGTTCGGGTAAGAAGAAATTTTGTGGAATTTATGTCTGACTCAGCAATGGGCACGAATAAGAAAGCGCAGTATTTTACAGTCTTTAAAATTGCATAGCATTCCAAGACACGCCACTGATGCATCAGTTTTGTCCGTCGACCGTTTTTATGAATAAACAGAAACGGTGTGCTCTTTTTAGCGTGAAACGGCGTTGTCCCGTCCACGAGTACAGCAAATGGTTAATGTATCTGAAAGAAACATAAAGACTCGTGTCGCTAACGCCGTCCCCCTAGAGAGGCCATACTTGGACCCTTGAGAGTAGAAGGCGGAATTCCCAGCGTCAGAAACGCGCCGGATAAGGCATAATTAATTTTAAAATGATGGAAATATCCAGGCAGATTCTAAGATTTAATTCTGTCCTCCTTCCATTTCCCTTTTGGTCGATTACAAGACTTAAATTTGACTTTCTTTCTCTCCTTCCTTGTTGCATATGCATTAAGCCTATTAAGTGCAATTTTACAGTGCAATTTTACAGTAATAAGGCAATTCAGCCGCATATACATGCATATAATTTTACACAGAACGCAACAAATACATAGTACAGTACTTTAAGGAAAGAGTCACTGTACTGTCAGCTTAGAAGTTGAAAGCAAATAAATTTCAAGTTTGTCTCTTCTGTCTTCCTAATAACAAATTTAGTATCAGATTATATCCTTAAAAGTACACATATCAAACTCAGACACAATGACACACGCACAAAATAAAAATCAAACACATACATTCACACTTATACATACAACCCCATCCATTCCTAAACCACACAAGACACACGCCATATTAACCCAACATACACCTTCTTACCCATACTCCAGGTGACGTCACAAGGAACCTGCTGATGCCCCTGCTGCCCCGCGTCGAGCAGGTAACCGGCGTGGACATCTCGCAGGAAATGGTAAACTTCGCATCCAAGACCTTCCAGCATAACACCCTCGCCTTCCGTCAGCTCGACATCGAAAAGACCGTCCAACCGCGCCAGACCTTCCCCGACGGCTTCTCCAAGGTAAAGCCCGGCTTGGCTCCTCGTGCGGCTGGGGCTGCGTTTCGGTCCCGCGGGTCTAGTCGGTTATGTATATATGCATACATAAATATACATATATGTATATATCTGTGTATGTATGTGTGTATACGTATGTATGTATGTATATAGAAAGACACACAGACAAATAAATAGATGGACAGACAGAAAGAACTGAACATCCTTCACTATTTTAATAATTTTTCAATACTCTCTCGTTTAATTATCTCATTCTCATTCTTACCCTTCTTCGCCATCCCCCCCCCATCCACTCAGGTATTCTCCTTTTACTGCCTGCACTGGGTCAAGGACCAGCCCCGATGCCTCAACAACATCTACCAGCTTCTGCAGCCCGGAGGCGAGGCCCTGCTGGTGTTCTTGGCCCACAACCCGCTCTTCTCCATGTACCAGAACATGAGCGAGAAGATCGAGTGGAATAAATACATGCAGGTGCTCTCTCCCCTTCACTTCTTGTTTGCTTCTCTCTTTTTCAGGGTTTTGTTTATAGGCGTATACTTATTTGGTTGTATATATATGTGTGTGTGTGTGTGTGTGTGTGTGTGTGTGTGTGTGTGTGTGTGTGTGTGTGTGTGTGTGTGTGTGTGTGTGTGTGTGTGTGTGTTGGTGCATACTCGTATATGTATAGTTTATTTTCTTAGGTGTACTTTTATTCTCTTTAATTTTTGTTTCTCTCTGTTAGCAGTAATACATTTTAAGGCCCATTAAATAATAAGATAATAACACAATTGCTCCATTCTATTTCTGTGTTAAACCTTGACTATATGAAATTACTATGGAATGAAAAATAAACATGACAGATCTGGCTTGATGATTGACGTTTTTTTGTTGTTGTTTTTTTGCATTTTTTTTTATACCTCCAGAAGAATCCATTTTCACACAGGTATTCAACACCATAACGCTGTAACACCATTTCGCCATAACACGCAATCAATGCACACCTTAACATACCATTCCCTACCATAGCATATCATGAAGCACCACAGCACTCTCACACCACCACCTTAACACACTGCCCAACGCCATATAACATCACTTAACACCACAGGACGCCACTTAGTACCTTATCACAATAACACCATCACCATATCACGTTTTCCAACGCCATTAAACACTATACGACGCCATTTATCACCATAACACAATAACACTACCACGATATCACGTCACTTGACACTACACGATGCTATTTATCACCATAACTCAGTAACACCACCACATCACGTCATATGACACCATACGAAGCCATTTATCACCATGACACAATGACACCACCACCACATCACGTCACTTGATACCACACGACGCCATTTGTTACCACAGCACAATAACACTACCACGATATCACGTCACTTGACACTACACGATGCTATTTATCACCATAACACAATAACACTACCACGATATCACGTCACTTGACACTACACGATGCTATTTATCACCATAACACAATAACACTACCACGATATCACGTCACTTGACACTACACGATGCTATTTATCACCATAACACAATAACACTACCACGATATCACGTCACTTGACACTACACGATGCTATTTATCACCATAACACAATAACACTACCACGATATCACGTCACTTGACACTACACGATGCTATTTATCACCATAACACAATAACACTACCACGATATCACGTCACTTGACACTACACGATGCTATTTATCACCATAACACAATAACACTACCACGATATCACGTCACTTGACACTACACGATGCTATTTATCACCATAACACAATAACACTACCACGATATCACGTCACTTGACACTACACGATGCTATTTATCACCATAACACAATAACACTACCACGATATCACGTCACTTGACACTACACGATGCTATTTATCACCATAACACAATAACACTACCACGATATCACGTCACTTGACACTACACGATGCTATTTATCACCATAACACAATAACACTACCACGATATCACGTCACTTGACACTACACGATGCTATTTATCACCATAACACAATAACACTACCACGATATCACGTCACTTGACACTACACGATGCTATTTATCACCATAACACAATAACACTACCACGATATCACGTCACTTGACACTACACGATGCTATTTATCACCATAACACAATAACACTACCACGATATCACGTCACTTGACACTACACGATGCTATTTATCACCATAACACAATAACACTACCACGATATCACGTCACTTGACACTACACGATGCTATTTATCACCATAACACAATAACACTACCACGATATCACGTCACTTGACACTACACGATGCTATTTATCACCATAACACAATAACACTACCACGATATCACGTCACTTGACACTACACGATGCTATTTATCACCATAACACAATAACACTACCACGATATCACGTCACTTGACACTACACGATGCTATTTATCACCATAACACAATAACACTACCACGATATCACGTCACTTGACACTACACGATGCTATTTATCACCATAACACAATAACACTACCACGATATCACGTCACTTGACACTACACGATGCTATTTATCACCATAACACAATAACACTACCACGATATCACGTCACTTGACACTACACGATGCTATTTATCACCATAACACAATAACACTACCACGATATCACGTCACTTGACACTACACGATGCTATTTATCACCATAACACAATAACACTACCACGATATCACGTCACTTGACACTACACGATGCTATTTATCACCATAACACAATAACACTACCACGATATCACGTCACTTGACACTACACGATGCTATTTATCACCATAACACAATAACACTACCACGATATCACGTCACTTGACACTACACGATGCTATTTATCACCATAACACAATAACACTACCACGATATCACGTCACTTGACACTACACGATGCTA